GTGGCAGGGGGGGGTCACTTGTTGTCGAAACTATCACCTAACAGTTATCAGAACTGAGAACACTTTTTTAAATGTATGGTAGTCTGTATTTGATGGCAAATAAATATATGGGATAGATTTAGTTTAATTTGCCTGGCATGCTTGTTATGAGCGTTGGATGACGTCTGGGTTAGCAAACTAATTTGCTCTTCTTATTACAGATATATGACTATGTTATATATGAGTCAAATAAAGTTGAATTAGTCGATACAACTAATTAGTAATCTTTTTAATATCTATTTATAACAAATTTGTAATCAATACATTATATAACTTGATAACAAAGGTTTTTTGACTTATTTAGGGACTTTGGGGCAAAATTGCAAAACTGTAATAAAATTTGTGGAAAACAAAATTATAAACTTAGTTTACACGTTGTACCTGTTATGGCTTAAAGTTTTAATTAATAAATTAGATTTATAAATTGCGTGCAGTCAATATCAAGAGTATCAACACGTTTTACGTTGCCTTTTTTAAAATCCACTCTCGTTGAGAGAACTCGCCTGTTTCCGGAGCTATGCCTCGGTGATTCTATTGAAATCGACGACGAAATTTGAAACCACCTAGCGACTGGACAAACAGACGGATCACGAAGAGAAGGCTTAGGGGATTTAAATATATGTTCAAATCCATAACATGAGCGCTATGGAAGGTAATATATCCTGAAATTTTTATCACATTTCCGAGGGTAACAAATACGTGATTTTGTTGTTTGTTTCTATAGCTGTAAATTGCAGCGGATGCAAATTCCCGATTCAAAAAGACGTGCATTCGGCGCTGGGGCTAAAATGGCATCGGAATTGCTTTAGGTTTGTGTATTAGTTGTTTAAATAATGTTATCTTGGGTTTTCCTGCTTTGTTAACCTATTTATTCCTTTTATTTACCTGTATAGGTGTTCGGAATGTTTGAGTACCATACCACTCCATTATATGCCTCGCGATAATGTTCTGTATTGCAAGAAGGATTATATTCTAAAATTTGGCGAACATTGTCAACGATGTGTTAAACAAATCACTGGACCTGTTATGGTATGAAATAAATGCTAACATAGATTATATTTTTGAGTATCTGTCCCCAAAATCAAGCCACAATTTAGTTAGATCTAAGATCTATCATATATCATGTGGACTTGGCAATTTTAATTGTCAGGTAAAAATCACGCTATTTTATATGATATTTTAGATAGTTTATTAATTTACAAGGTTTTTGATAATAAAGGGACTTTCTTCGGAGCTTAATTAGAATTTTTTAGAGTCTTCAAAGAATGTTTCAGCTTCATTTTGTAACAAATTACACTCTGGAATGTTGATATTTATACAAGGAAAAACTCAGAATGGTTTAGTATAGTTTTCTGCACGAATGTTTAGATATTTTTGAAAGAATTAAGTAAGTATATCTAGGCTATAAAATCTTCTAAGATGTCGTTTAGTTTCAAAGGATGTGAACTATTATGCCTGTTAGCACACCTTTCAGACATAAACAAACTTTCATAATAGCTTGTTCACATTAAATATTCTTGACAGCAGTTTACAGTAATATCAAGCCAAAAAGCATGTTTATGTATATTTTCAACACAAAATGCAAATTTTATACCTTTGGAATAATTGATTGCAAAATCTCTGTTTTTAACTGCTTGTAAACAAGAAGTTCAGCTTTCATTTGAGTCATATGATAGTCAGATAATTTGCCTATAAATCCTGTCTCTGTCAAATTCGATACTTATCTTAGTGTAAGGTTACTGTTTTGTCTCGGATTTACCGACAAACTGCCTTCAATCTGCCTCAAATGACATATTCTAAACTGATTAAGACACTAATGTCACTAATATGCATATTTTTATGTCGTACTTTGATTTCGCCAAGGAGAAACCTCTTGAGTTCATGTGATATAAGTTTCAAATTTAACCCTTTCGACACTCAAAAACAAAACACAGCCATCCATCCATCAACAAGTATTTGAATTTATTTTAATCTTAGGTTGCTGGCGAACAAAAATATCATACTGAATGCTTTGTATGTACAAAGTGTTTGAAGTTCATTGGTTATGGTGATGAATATATGTTAGTTGAACGACATAATTTGTACTGGTAAGTTTCAATTTTACTTTATTTTGTACTTCATTGGCGAGTTTCATTATGAAGCACTAATGTCAACCTGCAGTTTATTAAATATCAGAACGAGAAAACAATGTTAATTATTTCCATTATATGTTGTATTTAAAGGCAAACGAATGAAATTGAGAGATGTAATTTAATTTTCTTGCTCCAAAGTTGACCATCATCTGTTGAAACTATAAGCTTACTGCAACGCATCAATATTGGCATCAGCATATGGCAAACGCGTTTAATATTTAGTTCTTTGAGAATATTACTTCATCGTGATCAAGCCTGCATTTGCTTGTATTGGGTCGAAGAATCTCTTAGAGTTATTTTTTGAAAGATTTCTTTGTGATATGTGTGGGGGACGATTAAGATTGCACACTGCTTTACTGTCGAGCTGTCTAGAACTTTGGTTGTTTTCGCTTATTATTCTCTTTTGTTATAGCTTTGTGTATTTGACAGCAGGGTGTATGGACAATATATACTAGTATAGTTGATCAGTTAGTGACCTCTAAATTATTTAGTGCATAAGCTATGCGGATATATAACAATCTTGAAGCAATATTTTCAAGGAAATACATTAAATATCATTTGGATTACGTAGTTGCGAGTTATGTGTTGCTATAGATATTCAATTTGAGAACAGATTTATATTCTAGTTTCCTGCAAAACAGTGTGATGCCTGATAAATATATACAAAGTAACATATTGGTCTGATTTACTCACAACATATATCCATGGGCAGACAATTTCTGTTTGTCTTTGAAATACTTGTTTGGGGTTCAGCTTTGAGCTTTATATATTTGCATAAGGAATTCAATTAATTTGTTAATCAATAATTAGACAATTAATGAATACATACAACTTAACTGGGACAAAATGAATTGTATGGTTGAGTACCATGAATATGAATGAGTAAAAAATTCTTGGGTGGTATTTCAAGTTAGAGTATTTATAAGTGGTTTCACTAAGCACTATACAGCATGCTAATTACTTTCATTATTATACATAGTAGTTTCGTATTTTTTTGTGGTAAATAAATAGAATGTGTAGTTTAGATTATTTTGTCATTCTGACAACTGCAGGATGACCGTCATCTCCTGCACGATAGTGCTTAGTGAAACCTTGAATAATGCTTCCAAGCTCAGACATTGGGAAAATAATGATTTTTTTTCTATATTTAGCAATGATTGTTACAAACATTCAATCCTCCCAGCAATAAGTACACCAGTGAGTAAACTGGGACGCTGTCATACAATCCAGCACATCAACCTGGCACCAACGCCAGTCGGTCGACGTAAATTTTCTGTTCTTATTGAGAAAGCAAACAACATCAATAAGCTGCTGCGTTCAGCGGCAAGTTTGGCTCAGAATGGTGAGAGACGGAGCTTCATCGCAATCGAAAAGTACGTTGATCATTTATTGAGTACTGGTTAGCTCTAAACTGTTCTCTCCAGAGATCCAATAAGGATAATCCCTTATATTGATCCACTCTATCAGTTCTCAACTGTTCTGCCTAGAGATCCAGTAATTAAGGGTCATCTTTTATTGATCCAATGTTACTACAGGAGGAAACCTAAACTAAACTAACTTTATTTGTACTGGATAGTTCTATCAGTTCTAAACTATTCCACCTTGAGGTCCAGTAAGGATCATCTCTTATTGATCCAACTGGTGTTACTACAGGAGGAAACCTAAACTAACTTTACTTTCTAGTGGATAGCTCTATCAGTTCTAAACTGTTCTCCCTAGAGGTCCAGTAAGGATCATCTCTTATTGATCCAGTGTTACTACAGGAGGAAACCTAAACTAAATTAACTTTATTTATACCGGATAACTCTATCAGTTCTAAACTGTTCTCCGTAGAGATGCAGTAAGGATCATCTCTTATTGATCCAGTATGGTTACTACAGGAGGAAACCTAAACTAAACTCACTTTATGTTCTACTGGATAGCCAGGGATGCCGGAACTGGGGGAGGGGCAGGAGGGGCAGCTGCCTCTCTTGCCTTTTGCTAGGAGGGGCAAGGGGGGCAGAAGTGTCCTTTGAGTTGTACTATAAATCAATACTACCTGATAAATCACATTTCCAGCGATGCTTTTTGGGCAAAATCATGAGGTGTGATCTTGAATGTGACCTGAATAAGTGTGTTTGCTTTCATTGGCAAGTCAACACATTATTGTAGGTTTATATCTTCACCGGGATCTATAGAGGTGCCCTTTGGTGTGTGCTTGCCCCCCTTTGCCTTTTTATTGTTCCGGCATCTCTGTGGATAGCTCTATCAGATCTAAACTCTTCTCCCTAGAGGTCCAGTAAGGATCATCTCTTATTGATCCAGTGTTACTACTGAGGTAAACCAGAGCAGCACGAGAAAACCTGTGGTGTTTGGTAGAGTCAAACTTGAAGCACTCTTCTCACATGCAACTGTGCATATTGCAGGAATCAAAGTCACAGAGGTGAAAGCACTAACCACTGCAAGACTATCATCACCTCATCTATTAGGAAGACAAAATAGTTACTGTACCTATATATAACCTATTGGTCATATTCTCAACTGTCATTGATTGTTAACTTTTAAGATGAAATCACCATGGTTATAGATTGCAGACTGAGAGATTTAATTCCAATATTTTAGTGTTGATGCAAGCAGTGAGTTGAAAGCCAGGGGGGTGCAGAGCGGAGATAAAGTTTTGGAAGTGAATGACATCATGGTTACTGATGCCACAGTGGAAAAGGTATGCCAAACTTCATAAAAGTTAAGTAAAGATGTTACAGTGTTACGACTGGGTAAAAGCAGAATCTGACTGATACACTTTACTGTTTATCACACTTTGGCACCAATAGCCTCATTTCAACGTTTGCCTGTTTTAGCAAGGGAGGCGAACATGAAGGTTATATCCCCGGTTTCTTGCATGGATATGTTTCTCTTTGATCTTGAGCACAATCACAAAACTATCCTTAACCTTATTGTGCTCTAAACATGGGGAAATAAGTTCATGGAAACAAGGCCATTGAGTGCAATAAACAGTACAGTCTAGTTTTTACCAGTTTGAAACTCTTATTCTTGGGGCCCACAGTAATTGGTAATTACGCTGTTGCGAATTCCCTGCCACTATGTAAGGGATGGACCATTAGAAAAGTGATGGGGGAGGGGATTTTCTAAGAGGCAATATATATATTTTTTGTACACCTATAGAAGAATTTTTTTCTCACTTGATGGCTGGAATTTTTTTTTTAAGTGAAATTTATAGGCCTATCTTCCAAGCAAGGAATTTTTTTTTGCACTATGCCTGGGAAGATTTTTTTTTCCTAATTTTTTTCTGGGAATAATTTTTTGGGGGGTTTTGCCCCCCCCCCCCCTTTGCTAATGGTCCATCCCTAATATGTATAAGGCGAATTAAATACATAAATAAAAATAAATAAATTAAATTTGAGTTCAATAATAACCACTAAAAGTTTAGTGAAAATGTTTCTTCCAGCTCTCTCAAATAATCTCCAACCCTCAGCGAGTGCAGACTCTCACCATTGAGCGAAACACAGCCAATCAACCTCCCCCTCTGGAAATAAACCAACCCACAAAACCAGACACCATCAAATCACCTATCACACGGTCGCCTGTTGGTAGGCATCCCTCTCTGGATCTAATAGGTAGCCCAAATTACGACCAGAAGTTCAAGAGACACCATATGCCTTGGGAGGAAGACACTTTTGAGAATGAGGATTCAAATTCTACAGACAGAAAAACACGCAAAAAACCAGAAAGAGCGAACTCGTTGCCTCGGAGGTAATTAGAATATTTTGCGTAAAGCGGCTTTTGCTTGAAAGAGAAAGCTGACAGATAATCTATCTGTGAATAGACAACTTGCATGTTAGACTAATTTTTGATCTAGTCGGAAAAAAAAGTAAATTCCCGTAAAATTAGTAAAATTGCAAAATTTGGTTACGAAATGTTGTAAAATACGGAAAATATATCCTTGCGAAGTTTGCATATTTTGTATATGTTTGTATTACCTGCAGAAATTGTTACCATTTTTGTGCCGAAAATGGTAACAATTTCCGCATGCAATACAAACATATACAAAGTTTGCGGCAAACTTTGCAAGACTATATTTTCCAAGCTTTATATAATTTCGTACCCAAATTTTGCAATTTTACTAATTTCATTATGTTCTTTTTAGCTGTGGTGTTTGATTCCCTTCTCTTTACTTTATAGATTAAATTTAGTCTAACATGCAATTTGTCCATTAGATATATATAATAATGTGCCACTCTATATACATCAGGCAACGGTTCTGGCAACAAAAGTTAAGACGCAAGAGCAGTATACCTCATGAGCAGACAAACTGTCAAGGGTGTGTTGACTACAAAATTTTTGTAGTTCGCTATATACTACAGCTACTTTAAAAATATGTAGTCAGCTACAACTACTGCTACTTTTGCTATAGCTACTGCTTAAAAAATGTAGCGAACTATTTCGCTACACTATATTTTTTAGTTTTACTATATATTTGGAGCACCTACTAACTCAGGCTGTAATCTAACTTATAACAAATCGACTTACGAGTAGCAACAATAAGCACAAAGCAACATTTGTAAGCACTACAGTGTTCAGGAGTGCAAAAATAACTATCGAGTATTGATTTTAAGCAAACCTTGTCTCAATATCATGCTATTCTATCAAGTTGCTAACAATTTTAAAAAGTAGCGAATAGCGATTCGCTGTTTGAAAAGTAGTCAACTATACTTGGCTACTTTTAGACAAAATGTACTGGCTACTTGAAAATTGTAGTTCACTACACCACAACTACTTCGCTACTACTCACCCTTGCAAACTGTTCACATAACTTCGATTGATAGGGATGCAACTACCTGAAAAATTCAAGGAGAACTTCGACGTTTCGAGCGAAGGCCCTTCATTGGGAAGTTACTACCTTCGCTGACAGTCTGACAAAGACCGTTCAAAAAACAAAACTACTTACATTTTTGTATGCGTGCCAAAGCATGCAGTACTTATATGCTTTCATTTGCTTCGTTAGAGACTAATTAAAAGTACTTGTCTAAGTGTCTTTCTTTACAAACCACACTTAAGTAACAATTGTCAATGAATTCACATAAAATACCTCACATGATTTCGAATGTTTTGACTGTTGGCGTGGTGATGAGCCGTGAGAAAGACGCAAATAATGTAGGCTTTACTTTGAGCAGTAGCTTTTGGCCTCACTCGAACAAACAACATTCCCGTATAATATGCTACTGAAGGACAACTTTGTACGTTTAATAACGTAGCCGTTTGAACAACAACGACGTGCTAGAATGCTCAAGGGAATGCAAGTTATAGTTGCCTTTGTCTGAGAGTAAAATAATTCTTTTACTGCTCAGATAGTCCATCTTGACCACTTTTGACGGGTGATCCATTTATTTTGCGTTATTCACAGAGAAATTACCAAACGAACTTTCTTATCTTTGCGCAAGTTCGTCCAGAAGGATCATGCGTCAAACTTTTTCAATAATTTTTTTGTAGTAACTCCACGGACAACAATAATGTTATGAAGTGTAACTCTCCACTGCATCGCTCACAGTCTATGAAAGCTGAAGCGGGACAGTAAGTGTCTATGCTTTATTTATCTACTCATACAACGCAACCCTTTGCACAACAGTTAGCTTTGCACACGCAAAAATCTCACATCTTGTAACGAGTTTGTCAACAAGCCGCTCGTCAACAAGTTGTCTTCGCACTGCCTGTCACAAGTTGTCAACAAGTTTAACAAGTTCGATACAGTCATGATATAGCAGTATTGTTACAACCTTGTGTCGTCAACCTTGTAACATTCTTGTTTATCACGACTGTATCAGACTTGTTAGAACAACCTTGTGACAAGCCTGATGATGCCATCAAGCTTGTTACAAGTTGTTAACAGCTTGATACAAACTTGTTACAACAACTGGGAACAAGCAGGTGCGAACATAACTTGTTGACAGTTTGTGAACATATTTGTAACAACTTGTTTGCAGACTTGTGACAACTTGTGCGTTTTTACGTGTGTACCATCCAGTCAAGATCCAGTGTTCGGAATGTCCCATAGTCTTTTCCTTGTTTTTAAAATATCTTCATGATTCATTCCTTTGAAAATATATGCAATATCCACCTCTGTTTAATTTCTAGAGTATTTCGTCCATCAGATCTCATCGTTGGTGAAGTCATTGGTAAAGGGTTCTTTGGTCAAGTTAGTAAGGTACACAGATATGTTAATATCCAATATTTTGGCCATCTCGCTTGTTGGAATGGAATGTTGAACGATTTTTCTGATGGAAATGTCGAGGGAATATTATATGCATATGGTAGACCTGACCGAAAACAGCTGCAAAAAGTGCATATCAGTGTCTAAAAATGTATATAAATTTTCGGTTAAAAAGTTCCATCTGCAAGTCCTGCAATGCATCTTCTATATCGCGCAGATATTACAGACATTTTTATCATTTCTTGTTGCATGTTATCTTCAGCAGTCTGGGAGTAATAAATTAGTCTGAGAGTAACTCGATAATTTGTTTATTTATAGAAATTACTTTGTAGAAATATTTTAGTCTAAGTTTGTTTTAACCCTGATGATGGACGCTCAGTCCGAAAGCTTGGTTTTTATTTAGTTTTTAACATTATATTTTAATAATAAGGATTTTTTAATAGCCACAGACGACGGTGTTAGTTTTAGAGTAGCCAAATGGAGTCGAATAATTTGCCGAAAATTGACTGTTCCAACGAAGACTGAATCAAACTCAAGCTATTTTGAATAATCATAGGTAGTACATCGTGGCACAGGGAAGGTGATGGTCCTGAAAGAATTGATAAGGTGTGATGTTACCGCTCAAAAACAATTTATTAAAGAGGTAAGTTAATCAATCAAATAATCATTTCCATTGCTTTCTAGCCTTCACTGATGTTTTCCGTTTCATCGTTTCAGGTGACCTTACTTAAAACGCTCGAGCATCCGAATGTTTTAAAGTTCATTGGTATTTTATACAAGAATAAAGTATTAAGTTTTATCGCAGGTGGGGTGAATTAACTTATAACAAAAAAACAAAGTAGGTTGACCGTGTTAATAATGCAGTCGTTTTTAACACCTACACTAACGTAACTTACCCATGTGGATGGTTAGGTAGGGTGGGGTGGGGTGAGAGGTCTGCAGTTTGTTAGTTTACCAAACAATTAGCCATTCCGAAGTTGGTGAGTGGACTGGGGACGAGTGTTAAAAAGTGTCCAAATTAAGAAATGAACCAAATCACTAAAACGATCACCTCAAAATGAGCAAGTATACAAAGTTTGAAGACGTTTACATGAATACCCTTCGAATAATAAGCTTTCGAAAATTGTGAAATTACTGATTAAAAGATTGTTTTTGGGACGCGCGTCCCCCAAAACAAAAATTACAGTACATTTCATAGTAAATATTGCGATTTTCGAAAGCTTATTATTCGAAGGGTATTCATGTAAATGTCTTCAAACTTTGTATACTTACTAATTTTAAGGTGGTCGTTTTAGTGATTGGGTTCATTTCTTAATTTGGGCACTTTTTAACACTCGTCCCCAGTCCTCTCATCAACTTCGGAATGGCTAATTGCAATTACTTAATTGGATTCAGGTCATGAAACCCGTCCCCAGGCTCGCGCTGTTAATACCTTAGTTGTTAACCTTGGTTATTGCATAATCTCACATGAAATAATTTCCCGTCATAGAATATATAACTGGCGGAACGCTAAGAGGAATACTGAAGGACCAATCACGTGACTTATCTTGGTCTCAAAGGGTTAAATTCGCCAAAGATATTGCACTTGGAATGGTAAGTTGACAGATCTGCTGCACAAGTGTTTACAAGTACTTGAGAAAGCTTCAGATTGAAAACGATACAACTCAGTGACAAACACAAGCAGAATTTCGACGTTCTCCTTGTATTTTTCAGGTAGTTATATCCCTATCCATCTGAAGCTTTCTTATTATTGGCAATACCTACACTGGCACACATCGTACCAGAATGTTTACCAAAGATGTCTATTTTATTAACTTTTTTCTCAATCTTTCATTGCAGGATTATCTTCACAAAATGAACGTGATTCATAGAGACCTCAAGTCCAAAAACTGTCTCGCCAGAAAAGATGAGGTAACAGCTCATCTGTCTTTCTGTGACTGGCGATTGATTTCTGTGTGCCATATGTCACATGACTCCTGTAGTATCATTGGATCAATAACGAATGACTCTTACTGGACCCCTAGGAAGAACGGTTTAGAACTGATACCGCTATCCAGTAGAAATAAAGTTAGTTTAGTTTAGTTTAATTAGGTTTTCTCCTGTAGTAACACTGGATCAATAAAGCCTGGTTCACACGATGAAATAAGCATAAGCATAAGCATAAGCATAAGCTAGCGGAACCTTTGATGTAAGCATAAGAAGAACGCAACATTTGTTCTTCTTATGTTATGCTTATGCTTACATCAATGGTTCCGCTGCTTGTGCTTATGCTTATTTCATCGTGTGAACCAGGCTTAAGGGATGACTCTTACTGGACCTCTAGGGAGAAAGATTTAGAACTGATAGAGCTATCCAGTAGAAATAAAGTTAGTTTAGTTTAGTTTAGGTTTTCTCCTGTAGTAACACTGGATCAATAAGGGAGGACTCTTACTGGACCTCTAGGGGGAACAGTTCTGTGGTTAATATCTGATAGAGCTATATATCCAGTATCAGTAATCTAATATTCATTATAATATCAGGGTATGACAATTGTCGTGGCAGATTTTGGTCTGGCAGGAATAATGAGTATCAATGAGGAACAAACAAATGGTCGAGATCAAAACAACAATGGAAATAAACATTCCAATCTTTTATCAGCACGCCCACCTCCACCGAAGAAACGGTAATTACTCTTTGTATAACACTCAGAGCATAACAAATAGTACGTTGTCTATAAGCCTACGTTTGCACTATACCAGATAGTTTTCCGTAGCGGCGCGAAAAAGCATCTATCCGATACGGAATGTACAACTTTCAGAAGCTGAGCGAAATAACATCTTGCCGTTGTAGTAATTCCTTTGAAAATAGCGTTCCTAAAAGGCACGGGTGGGTATTTTTTCACGTCGCTACGGAAAACTATCCGGTACAGTCTTTGCCTACTAAGTTTTCTAACAAAGCTTTTAATTTTCGCTGCTGTAGAACAACCGTCGTGGGTTCGCCTTACTGGATGGCTCCCGAAATGTTAAACGGTATTGTTACATTTTTCACTTGTAAAGCTGCTCTGTAGGGCATCTATTCTAAACTTTTTTTTATTATTGTTCAAGGAAATGCTTATGATGAACGCGTGGATATTTTTTCATTTGGAATTATTGTTTGTGAGGTAGATAAATGTTTCTTGATGTTTTCCAGATGCTTTTATCTTTTAAACTTCTACTACATATCCCAAGTTATATGTTCTGCCAGGACCGTATTTTCACATATTTTCTATATTTTATTTTAAAGATTATCAGTAGAGTGAAAGCAAATCCTGATTTTATTCCTCGAACGAAAGTAAGTCTCCTCTCATGTTCCCACGTCTTTTCCTTCTCTTTTCATTCTATAAGGGACCGGTCATTATTTATGGTCTGGTCGGTGTTGAAGAGAAAATGGGTGGGTAAACAAAATTTTATGGGTGGAAATGGGTGGGTTGAATAAAAATTCACCAAGCCAAGTAAATTGACAAAATTAAGTTAGGGTGGGTCTACGATTTTTGAATGAGTGCTGGGGTTGGGTAGAGAAAAAATAATTTTTTTGAAGGTTGGGTCCCTAAATAATTTGGCCAAGATTATATGTCCATACCATCTCAACCTTGCTTCCTAATCTTTTCATTCCATAATGTCTCTGACCAGCTCTCCTTCATCTCTTATTACATGTCCGTACCATCTCAGCCTTGCTTCCCTCACCTTCTCCGTAATGTGTACCACCTCACATCTTCTGATCTCTTCATTCCATAATGTGTCTGACCAGCTGTCCATCATCGCTTCTTATTACGTGTCCATACCATCTCAACCTTGCTTCCCTCACCTTCTCTGCAATATCTACCACCCCACATCTTCTAATCTTTTCATTCCATAATGTCTCTGACCAGCCTTCCTTCATCTCTTTTTATTAAATGTCTATACAATCTCAGCCTACGGCCACTTTTGAATTCTTCATTCCATAATCTTGTTGTTGTTTTTCAGGCATTTGGTCTGGACGAGCCATCGTTTGAGGGAAAGTTTTGTGAAAGTTGTCCGAAATCGTTCTTTCAAATTGCTTGTTTATGTTGTGATCTGGACCCCAGTGCCAGGTAATATCAACAATATTAATGATGATAATGATTTCGCCCTCATCAACTATCACCTCTTAGTATAATTTCAGTATTGAAAAATTTCAGTATTGACTAATTGTTAAATAGAAAAGGTAATGTCAATTACAAACAGTGTGGTTGCCCGAGACTTGTGAGCCGGGTAAGAGACAACTCATTAATGGACCATTTGCATTATAGACTAAATTTTGATCTGGACAAAAATTTCATCACAGCTTGAAAGAGCATCACAAAATTAGTAATATTCCAAAGTTTCGTTGCGAAATGTTGTAAAATGCGGATAATATAGCCTTGCGAAGTTTGCCGTTTTTCAGCAATTTTGTATTACGCACGGGAAATTGACAGCCCAATCGGGTGTTGGGGCATCAATTTCCCGTTCGTAATACAAAATGACTGAAAATTGCAAATTTCGCAAGGCTATATTATCCGCATTTTACAACATTTCGCAACGAAACTTTGGAATATTACTAATTTTGTGATGCTCTTTCAAGCTGTGATGAAATTTTTGTCTAGATCAAAATTTAGTCTATAATGCAAATGGTCCATTATTAAATAGAAAAGATAATGTCCATTACAAACAGTGTGGTTGCCCGAGACTTGTGAGCCGGGTAAGAGACACCTCTTTAACCACATCTATACTTGATGATATTAAACATTGAAATCCACTCTGGCTACTCGCCCCCAATGAGCTCCTAAATATCAGGAGTAAGAACTTCAGTCATTCGGCCTATGAGAAAAGTGAAGTCAAGATGGCGGTCATTGACGTCCAATAGCTCTGAAGGTCGTAAACAGATTTTATACCATTTTCCCAGCTAATTCCAGTTTTTTTCTAACGGATCGTATCGCTAACCAAGTTATCAGTGCGTAAAACCATAGTATTATTCTTTAAATCGATGTCAAAATACGAAATTTCGGCACACTCCTTGCCAAGATGGCGGAAATTGAAGAGCTACCGTAAACCTCCGACTATAAGCCCTGGGCTTATATTCTTTCGTAAGCGATTTTTGATGGGCTTATACAAGGGGGGGGGGGCTTATATACGGGTGGGGGCTTATACATGGACGATCCTTTGTGTTAGTGTAATAGTGATAAACAAGTATAGTAATAGTGATAAACAAGTGTTAAGCATAGTAATAATAGTGATTAATAGTGATAATAGTGATAAACAATGCAATAGTGATAAACAAGTGGGCTTATATTCGGGTGGGGGCTTATATTTGGAATGAGGTGGGCGTTAGTGCATGTGGTGGGCTTATACACGGGGGGGGCTTATATTCGGGGGGGGGGGCTTATAATCGGAGGTTTACGGTATTGGACGTCAGTTCCAGTGCTTTCTATTATTTCTGTATGCGCGGTTAACATGAAGCTGGCTTCACTTTTTGTACTCGCGTTCTCACTCCAGATATATATTAAGCTCAGTGCTCGCTCCTCACACTCGGTCGTCTTTTCAATTTCAGGCCGACATTTTCTTCCCTCAGTCACTGGCTGGAAGCTTTGTTAGTCCATCTGGAGGTCGGTATGCCATTGCCGAGTGACGTTGCGTACTCGCTTTTACCAAAAAGCTTAAAAACATCCGTCGTTATAGACGCGAAAGAGACGGATCTTGCACGGTGAAATATTGTTGGGTTTCAATAAGCGTTACAGGGCTAGAAATTGTGGTCAACTTCAGAAATATTGAGTATCATGCCAGTGATCCTTTGGGCGCTTGGCGTCCCAGAAAATGGCTTACTCTTGAGATATTTATAACTGATCTCCAATATTTACTTGGTATTGGCCAGGGGCGGCGGAAAGTCGATAATTGAGAGGGGGGGCTGATATTCATATATTCATGTTCTGCATCATTTATTTCCTTTGAAAGCGATTGTTTTTACAGTCTGTGAACACGAATATATGAATATCAGCCCCCCCCCCCAATTATCGACTTTCCGCCGCCCCTGGTATTGGCCCATATTTATCGGAATCCTATTGAAAAACAACTCAACTCGTTAGGAAAAGAATTTCTCACTCTGATAACTGCAGGTTGACCACCATCTGCTGCACGATAGTGCTTATTGAAACTGGAATGAAAATTGTTAAAATAACCATAAAATTGGTTAAAATGGTCAGATGGCTCGGATTCTATTTGAATGCAGGCCAGTCGAGTTCTAACGCGAGACAACCAGGCATCTAGCACGACCTAGACTAATTTAAAATGTATATATGCATCTACATATAGACGGATTTATAACGTGGTACGGCCCCTTTTTTTGCTCACAGATGAGATTTTAATTAAGCACAAACAAAGAAAATGTTAATATAGGAGTTTCGTATAGATATATTTAATATGGAAGATAATTATTAAATGTAGAATAAAGTCGGAATAATTGTTTAGCTACTAAATTAAATTAACCATTAATAATTCATGAGTAAATTAGCCAACCATATTGCCTTATTTTGCTCACATGATAATACTGGATACCTGATGAAGTATATTGATATTTGAATGCTGTTCTTAGGGTTTGTAATCCAAGTGAGTATATATATATACATTTTAAGACCTGACTAGGAAGTACTGCGAAAAATGCAGCACAAGGTCCTCTGGTAGGAATTGAACCCACGGCCCTGCGATTCCAGTGCAGCGCTCTAACCAACTGAGCTACAGAGGCCAGCTGTTGAGCTGTAACCGTAAGTTCATGTATATATAGGTGTGCGGGTTGTGATAAGGTGGACTTCAATGATATGGAATGATATGTGAAGTGCAAGAAACCATATCATTGAAGTATATTGATCCTGTCCCAGGACTAGATCAAAATTATTTCAGTCCTTAGACTGGATCCAAATGAATTAAATAGTGATTTATTCGTATGAGATGTCATTTCAAATCCTCCAATTTGGACTGGACTAGATTTCAAATCCTCGCATTTTGATCCAGGCCTCGACTTCGCCTCGGACGTGATCAAATTGCGCGAACTTGAAATCTAGTCCAGTCCTCATAGTCGGATTGGAAATAGTACATAAAGTTGCCGGAAAATTGCAAAGAAATCTCTACAGCTTTGAAACACTGGTTCCGCCGGAGACACAGCGAACAAACCAGGGAACATTGTTTTCTTGGGGGAACCCTGGAACATTTTAGAGTTCCGGCCATGTTTCCCAAAGGTGAACAAACCAAGAAACATTGCTTCCTATATATAGTCATGTTTCCCAACGGTGGACGAACCAGGAAACATTCAGTCCTAGCCATGTTTCTCAAAGATGAGCAAACCAAGAAACAGTGCTTCCTATAGCCATGTTTCCCACCCAAAGGTAGACAAACCAGGAAACATTGTTTTCCAGCCGTGTTTTTAGAACATGGGGAAAGCAGGAAACATCGTGTGCTAGCCACCTGAAGGTTGTCAAACCAGGAAACATTGTTTCCTAACTTTACGAGTTTTGACCCGTACGGGTGGTATGTGTGTAAACTAATTACGACCCGCAACGAGATTTCATGCATACATAATCATGTCTTCAGTAATTTATGGAAATAAGTTAGTATTTTGACTGACATTTTGTGTTTAAACGTTCTAAAATGAATGGATTGTCTTGTTACTTTATATGAGGTTGCGATTATCAGTGAATTTGGCAGGAATGTTTAACAGAATTGTTATTTTTACGGATGGCTAAAGATTTTCTGTACTTTGCTATAAACAAGCAGGTAATCAACAGCTTTTCTTTTTATCTTTGATTTCGAACTGTATCATCTTTTGTCAAAACTATAATTACTTTTCCTACTAGCTTCAAACCCCGTTGAAACGGACCCTGACACCATTCAACAATTTTGAAATAATGTTTTATACTGTTTCGCAAAGCACAAATTTTCAATTTGGATAAGTCTATCAAATTGGGAACGTTAAGGGATCATATCATATTTCCTGATCTGCCATTTTACGAGGTTGTGAAGTGTTATTGTGAAGTGTTACACAGTGTTAAACAATGTTACATATTCTTACATAGTGTTCCAGTGCTACATAGTGTTACATAGTGTTACACATTGTTACATATTGTTCCTCAGTGCTACATAATGCTACAGAGTGTTGACAGTGTTACATAGTGTTACACACACTAACCCCCATCCCTAACCCCACCCCTACTCCTAAATAGAGATAGTGTAACACTTGTAACACTGTTACCCGAGTATATACTTGATAATACACTCTAAATCATGCATCATATGTATACGAAAGAAACGGAAAATGGTTTTTCACATACTGCTGGGGGCCTGATGAGATCAGGGTGGTGCAGGTTACATGAGCATACTTTTGTTGTAGCTTGACAGTATCCCACCCATCCAGACACCCACCCACCCAGCCCTTTTATTTTATTAACTCAGAAATTAAGTGGAACTGAACAGCTTTAGATTAGGTATATGTACTTGTTATAGTAACTATTTAGCTAGCCAGCCTAGCCTGGTTTTTCGTCGCTTGGCGAAAGAATAACGTCTGCGAGCAGGCTACTATTAGCGAGCAATTGTATGATAAATGTCAAGCTTGCGGCTGACGATGCAGCTGCTCCTAGTCGTGTGCAAGAAGGCAAATGCAGGATCCCGAGTGACACCTCTTCCAGGTCTGACATGGTTATAATATAATAATATTGATTTATTTCCTCTAGGTTCAACATAAAAGACCATTCTCTTTGAAATGAGCGAGTCAAAAGCAGTCCCAAAAATATTTTATATTTTCTTAATTGTCTCATTCTCAAGTGGATTCTCCATCATTTGCTTCACAGACTTGCGCACAGCCCCAGCGGGAAAAATCCTGCAATTTAAAGCTAAGGCCTACCCGTATAAATGGCCTCTACGAACTGGGCTACTGGTACTGCTGTTACTGATAACCGTCTTAGCATTTGTGGCCACGCTGAAGGGGATACATAGACTCAATATCGTTCTAGCTGCTCTCATATTTATCTTGTTGATTGTGGAAGTTTCCTTCGCGGGAAAACACTTAACTTGGCGTAACGAACAGACACGTATAGTAAAACAGCAAGGGGATGGTAATACTATGCTACAGCAATATGGCGTTGACCCAGCTATCACAAAAATCATGGATTTTGTTCAGACCTCATATTCGTGTTGTGGAATAACAGATTACCGAGACTGGGCAACCACAAACTGGGCAGCGATAGTTGTAAGTATTAAATACAGTTGAGTAGTAACTATTCCTGGGTTTCGGCAGGGTATTCTATCTTTCTTTTCAGGGCATTCATTCTATAGTTCTCTATCTATCTACTAACCCTCCAGCTATTCAAAAACAGCAATGGCACTCAAGAGTCTGAGAAGCTCAGATTGAATCTCCACTCATTGAGTGTGAGTGAGCTTTTAGAATACGGGCGTAAATCTCTCAATTCTATTTATCTCCAAATACAAGACTACTACATATAATGAAAAGAATTAACATTATTTTCTCACTCTGATAACTGCAGCCCATAAAAGAGTTTCAATATTAATTATAAGTAGATTTCACTAAGCACTATCGTCAACCTGCAGTTATCAGAGTGAGAATTGGGAATATAATGTTAACTCGATCTATTACGAAAGTCACCGAACTGTGGAATCGCATCAAAAATTCGTATATCGACCACTCCCACAAACGTCTACGACCGCGCCTACATAGTTTTGCACGTTTACAATTCTAATTTTAAACAGCCAATTACCAAGAATCTGATTGGCTGTTCAAAATTAGAATTGTAAACATGCAAAACTATGTAGTCGAATGTAGGCGTGGTCGTAGACGTTTGTGGGAGTGGTCGATATACGAATTTTTGATGCGATTCCACAGTTCGGTGATTTTCGTAATATTATATGTAGTAATCTTGTATTTGGATATAAATAAATACAATTGGAAGATGTAGTTTAATTAGCCATTTCCCAAAGTCCTGGGTCTAGTCGCGCGAATCCCAGGTTGGAGGGACAAGAAATCAGGCCTTAAAATATCGGTCGGTCACGGACATTGTTCGACCCATTCGTGAAATTGTCCGACGTAAAGAGGAAACCACCGGACATTCTGTCCGACCTAAGTGAAACTGAAGTTTATTGTTTGTCCGACCCGAAAATGTATTGGTGTCCGACCGAACTGTAGCTTTGTCGAACGTAAATCAAAATGTACACTACTCTAGGACTAGAGGCTCGTATGCTAAATGGAGAATCAGAGTAGTGCATAAAAAGTGAACTGGAAATGTTGTTTTAAAATTAATGTAAATCGAGGGCGGGGCGGCGAACGAAATGATGAAAGTGGAAAATGAGCTTAAGTTGTCAAACTCTTACTGCTTTTCTTAGCAAGCAAGTTAATTTTGGCTTGGAAATTGACGGGTCCACAACATTTGCCGTTCAGAATTAATACATTGTGCTGATATTAATTTGCGTCATTCAGACTTATTTCCGAGCCAAACTGAACTGAAGGTCATCGGACATCATCATACATATGTCCAACCCAAACTCAAAGTCATCAGACATTTTGTCAGACGGTCCTGTAAAATATATTTTAAGGCCTGCAAGAAATATGGCAGCACACATTTAAATTAAATGTTTAATGTAAAACGGAGATATTTCATTTTTGGTCGTCTAAATGTTTGATAGTAGATACTTCTACTCTTTCACATATTTAACGTCTGTCACTATATATTTTATCCCTCCAAACGTTCCCAGAATGCACTGTGATCTCTTTTGGGAAAAGGCTAATTTGCTTGTTCTTATAAATGTCGACATTCCCAGGCAACCCACCAAGACTACGAACTAAAATGTTGTTTTTCGTTTCTTTCAGCTAAAACAAAATGCGGTTCCAACATCGTGTTGTAAGATGCCTGGGCCAGCATGTGGCGATGACTTAGACATTAAAGACCCATTTGAGAACATTTTTGTTCAAGGTTGTACCCAACTTTTATACTTCAGTAAAACCAGTGATCACGACCATGGTGGGGTGGGCATGGCTGTGTTATTTCTCCACTGGTGTTCTGTGGTCACCTGTGTCATACTGGCGTGTGCGGTCCCCTATTCCAGCGGTCTTTCTCCGGCCCAGGCTCTTGCCGGTGAAGAACCGGAGAAGAAACCTGAAGGTGGTGCGGGAAAAAGCCCTAAAAAGCAGGCAAAGTCAAGTGATAAGAAGAGGACTGGAGATGAGTTATTTGAAGAGGAAAACAAAGCGCCCAAAGGAGCGAGAAATTTATTGATCGATAAATCTGAACTTGAAAACGAGTCTGAGACTTTGGACACGAGCGGCCCTTAAGTATATTTTAATTTAGGGACTTGTAGAATACCCAAGGCTAGGCATAGAGTGGTGATCCTTGGAGTTTCCTTGGAGTGGTAAGAAGATTAGTTCAAGTTTTACTATTCTAGGACATGATAGACCCAGTCACGTAACGAGAGACCTATTCCAGTCACGTGAGAATTCAGTGACGCGGCCATGCAAAAAAAGATGTTGTTCGACATTCACGCTGTGCCCGCGAGCAGCAAAGCGGACTGAAAATTACGACCATATAAACCTACAGAGCAAGTCCAATACGGGAAACAGCCCTTTTAAAGCGCGCAGAATCTGACATTACTAGTTGGGGATACAAGCTGGATATAAACTTGCTTGAACCACTTGTTATCTGAGCGATGCATATAATTTTACAGCACGACATTTTAGCAAAATAACGTTGTATTACACCCGTAGCTATCTTTGTACACTCGTAAAATACTTTATACACTCATAATAACACAACGTATTTTTCTAGACAAATCCAGAGTATTCATTTCTGAGTCTTAAATTCTCATGACACTTGCCGCGCG